GCCCCCCGCCTTCTCCAAATACCCCTACTTAAATATTAAATTCTTTCAAAAAAGAATCTCATGAATAATTTAATATTTAATCTTGAAATGGGTCTATTCCTAAATTTCTAAAATAGTTTCCATCATTTTTCATCATTTTACTGTAACTATTTTTATTCACCATGTTGGATATTTAAGTTTGCAAAAATGGTGGCTGAAAAGGGGAAAGAAGAAAAAAATAATTAAAAAATCGACTAAATAGGCTTTTCACACGCGCTCAACAAGTGTATTACACTCACTAAGCCATGTAAGCAAAAAGTGTCAAAATGACACATCGAGACCCTACATGAGGTGTCTAAAATGAACATCGCCCACTTAAGGTGCCTAAGTGAAACTTCGTGTCAAATTTAAGGGGCCACCGATGGGTTAGCCCTAATAATTACTCCATCTATGAATATACATTATACAGTCAGTTACACTTTCCTGTCTAAGTAATATAAGGGAGCCCCGATTGCACTTTAATGAAAAACTTTTTTTTTTCATGGCTCGAACCCGTTTAATTAAGGGCCCGTTTGGCCAATCATATATGGAATCATAATATGAAATTAAAGTTTTGTTTGGATATGCGATATAATTTTTTATGTTGTATATTTTCTCATAAATATAATAATCTAATAAGTTGTAAAACTATTAAAATAGTCATAATTGTTTATTTAATCTTATCAAATAAAATAAAAAATTATAAAATCACATATAATAAATTATTATAAAGTTATTTGTTCTCCACTTAAGTAATTGGTTAATCTAACTTTAATTGATCAAACTTTAATTCAGTAAAAAAAATTGAACATAAACTATATTGTGTTAGTCTTTAATATAATTTTTCCACATAGTACGGACAATTGCCTCACGTTGAACTTGCATTTCTCGATCATATGGCCAAGGAGACGAACCAACATTGTTACTTTGAACCATTTGTTGTTCAATATCATCCGCAACTATATTTTCATGCTCATAGACCATAAATATTTGATCACTCCTTTGGTATTCTCACAAATAATTATGTAACACTGCACAAACTATGACAATTTTCACTTGTGTGTCAATATCATAATGATTCGTGCCTTGTTTCACTTGTGTGCAATTACACATTTTCAGCGCATTAATTTCGTGCTAAAAATCAAACATATTGAATGTAGTGATTATCAAATATACATCACCAATTTTGTCTTTTTTCATATTAAATTGTTTTAAACATTTTCATATGTAGTCGAAAGAAACGTTTTTTTTTTCATTTTTTTAATTATGAAAAATAAAAAAAGTATTACTCCCTCCGTTATCATTTATATTCACCAAATTTAAAGTAATAATAAATTTTATGTTTGTGAGAATAATAAATTTTAAAAAGTAATATGTGATTATAAATTTTATTTACATATGAAATAAATGGTTAGTAGATATAAATGTGGGGTTGTTTTAACAAAATATAAACTTGTGGGTCAATTTTTGTACGCAAAAATCTCAAATCATGATATGAAATTCTCATATCATAGTTTTTTTGGAGAATGTTGGCATAAAATGATTAAATTTGCACAGGTATATTCTAATGAATTCATTTATATAAGCAAATCAAAGTTTTGATTGATTTTATATCATGATATGGTATTGCATGACAAAACGTCTACTAAAAAGGAGTAGTCTCATTTATTATACCAATTTTTTTATGGTCACTTTTCTGTCAAACATTATGACAACTTACATGCATGGTGCTAAAGGAGAGACCCTTATATCTTTGTAATGTAATGGTCTGATTCATTGGTGGCCCCTTAAAATTGGCACCAAGTTTCACTTAGACACCTTAACTAGACTTTGTTCATTTTAAGCACTTTATGTAAGACTCAATTGTGCCACTTTAACACTTTTTATACAATCAACAAAAATATGATGTGTGTGTGAGTTTCATTTGCAAATAAGGCTGGGCACCGGAACGGGTTGTACCGGTACCGTTCTGGTACCATTCCGGTACCATTCCGGTCCGGTAGTATTCGGGACGGGATGGGATACATTGAATCGGTACACGGAACGGAACGGTATCTTGATTTGGTACCGGTATACTGGTACCGGTTCATTCTGGTTCCGTTCCGTTCCGTTCCGGTCTGTTACCGGTCCAGTCCCGATAAATCATTTTTAATTAAAATAAAAAATAATATTTTTGTCATTATTTACTTTTATTAGCATTTCTTTTTGTTTATTTAATTTTTTTAAAATTACAAACTTAAGTTATTTAACTTACAAGTTATAAGTATAATTTACTTTAATTAGCATTTTCTTTTGTTTATTTAATTTTTTAAAATTACAAATTTAAGTTATTTAACTTACAAGTTATAAGTATAACTTAATAACTTATAAACTTCAAAAGATTCAAATCTTTAAAACTTATAACATAACTACATAAGCTCAAAACTTAAAAAAACTTTATTAAACTTAACTTACAAACTTATATACGTAAAAATTAAAAAAAAATATACTTTAAAATAAACTTAAGTAAAATTATTATAAATTTTAAAACTTAAATACTATAAACTAATATAACTTAGAAAAGAAAAAAAACATTCGTATTTTCGTAATTCAAAAGTACTCGAAAAAAATATTTATTTTTTGAAATAGTTGTATGTGTCGTCCCGTTTATCCCATCCCGTTCCGTTCCAGTCCATTCTGGTTCGTCCCGGTTCTATCCCGGTATATAGTGGAACGGGATGGAACTGAGCCTCCATCCCGGTAGTTCCGGTCCGATTCATCCCGTACCGGTCAACAACCCGGTCAAACCGTCCCGTTCCGGTCCAGTGGTCCCATTCCGGTCCGGTGCCTAGCCTTACTCGCGGATGAGGTGTAAAGTGTCAAATTAAATGAAGACATTTGTCATTTTGTTCAAAATAATTCTTAAATAATAAAACTTTCAAATATAAAAAAATATGACCAATGAGTTGATGACACATGATATTTTTTTATTAAAAAAATCCTGCTTAGGAGAAGCATCTCCCCCCCCCCCCGCACCCCATCATCTTCTCCAACAAGCATGCACCCCTTAATCTTCTCCGCTATATACCCAAAATTACATCTATATCCTTTTACTTAAAATTATTTAATTTTTCTATGATATAATTTTACTAAATTTGTGAAATTCAAATTCTTACCATTAAATGTAGTTGCACAGATTTTATTGCTAAAAGAAAAATTTAAGATCTAGTGAAATTTTAAAAATACAGATGTGTATGTGTTCATTTCACATCACATTGTTAAGTGTTTTTTAATGGGATTATCTCATTTTCTTAGTGAGTTCTTATTCATCTCCAACTTTTCAAGTTTTTTTTTCATGTTTTTTTCTCTCCAAATTTCGATCCTTTTTTCTCAAATTAAATCGAGGAGGAAGATAAGGTTATGTTGTTAACCTATATAAACACAAATTTTTAAAGTAAAATGCTTGGCTTTTTTGTTTTCACCATTCGAAAGTGCATTATATCTTAGATAAAAATTAAAAATACATGATATCTAAATATTCAAAATTAAAATAATGTATTCATATATGTTACTCTATATTATTAAAATTGTAATATTAATAATTAAGAAACTTGAGGATGAGGTTATGTTCTCTGCTCTCAAAATAAAATTAAAAATGTTGTTCGAATCCGCACACCTGGGGTGGAAATTAACACGCTTAACCACTGCGCCATGGAAGAGTTTATGTCAAGGTTAACATTAACTATTTATCCCTTAAATTCAAAATTTGACCTCGATGTAATTTTCCGACGAACGGTGTTCAGCTGACCACCCTTGGATGGTTGTAGCTCCACCCCTGCATCGATGAGTTAGGCCTAATGTAATGGTTGAGGATATAGAAATGTGGAATACTTGCATGAAGGTACACTTAGGCATTCACCCACTACTCGTAAGTTTGTAACATCTATTAGTTAAAAATAAAAAAATAACTTATCCTTCTTGACCCAAAAAAAAGTAAAAAAAAATCCTAATTGTTCACGAGTCACGACATTATGTTAGGAGTATTTTTGGCGTCTTTTCTTTTTTGTATTTATCATTTATCTATAGGAGTGATTGTTCATTTTATTTATTAACTATAACTTGATAATCCTAGTCATTCAAAATATTATTCCTTCAGTTCCATATTATTTGGCTCATATATTAAAAATAAATGTCTTATTTTGTTTGTTTAATTTAAAAATTTAAGAGATTTTTATATTTTAAAAAAAATCTTTCTACCTCTAATATTAAATAACTACATAATAGTAGCAATCAAATTTTGTTGAATTAAAAAAAACATTCTTAATTAAAAAAAATTAAAAATGTGTCACATTAACACGGATCAAATATATAAAATTAAAGGTGGATTAAATTTTGGCAGCGTAATTACTTTAGAAAAGTTTCATTTATTTGGTAGTATGATATGTGTGTTATAATATATGCATCATGTGAATTTAGTGTTAATGACCCTAGAGTTACGTATATGACTTAAAAGTGAAAAACTTGAAAACTAAGAGATAAGTATCAAAAACACACCTAAATTATTTATTTATTTTTAGTTTCATATTTAAATTATTGAGAGTGTGAGTTTCATACCTAAACTATCACTTATTAGTTTGAGAAACACACCCCAGTGGTGTATGTAATACACTCTTTTTTTTTTTGAAAAAACCTTGACACATAACATTCTACATGGATAAAATATTTCACCTTGACAAAAAGTAAATAATAAACTATAATATTAATTAAAAATTAAAGATTAAAGTATTAATATCACTAAATAAATTATTTTTTAAAAAGATAAACGTACCACACTCCACTACCTCCTCCCCCGTACCCCCTCCTTCTCCCACTAAATTTTTTTTTAAAAAAAAGTCATACTTCACCCTCACCCCCATCCCCCCAAAAAAATTGATATTATTTAATTTTATTTTAAAAAATAAAAAATTTACCCCACCCTATTTAACCTTCTGCTTCTAATTTATTTATTTACTAGAGAACATGGCCGCGCTTTGCGCGAGGATTAAAAATATGTGTTAGAATAATTATTCTTGTGGATTAATTATATCATTATATAATCCAACCGTATCATTATCTCTTCATTTGAAATGATACATGCTCTATTAAAAAATAAAATTCCATTGCACTAAATGGGGGAATTGTTAGTATGACAACGTCGTATCATTTGTTATTAGATTGAGTTTTAGAGAATGTATTCTTTAATAAAAAATTATTTCATCTCCCTATTACATTGAAACCAATACATGGAAAATGTCTCGTCATTATTTGTAAGATTGATCTAGTGAAATTCCTCTATGTATATATTTTTTCAAGTGCTCTTGTTTCTTTCTGAAATATGTAATTCGCTATTGCATACTCCCTCCGTCCCATTTTATGTGGCAACATTTGACCGGGCACGAAGTTTAAGAAATAAATGAAGACTTTGAAATGTTTACCAAATTGCTCTTTAAAAAGTAGACTTTTTTTTCTCTCTCCTCATAAATGTATTGGAGTACTCCCTCCGTTTCACAAAGAGTGGCCTAGTTTGACTTGACACGGAGTTTAAGAAAATAAAGAAGACTTTTGAATCTTGTGGCCCTAAATTAAAGTTATGTCAAATGTACAAAATTGCTCTTTAATCTTGTGGTCTTAAACATGCCACGTGGAAAGTTGAAAGTAAAATGTTACCAAAAAAGGAAAGGGGCCATTTTCTTTTAAACAGACTAAAAAGGAAAGGAGACCATTCTTTTTGAAACGGAGGGAGTATTATTTTAAGATTAAGTGGGATCAACAATGATAAAAGAGGAATTGTACCTTTATAAACTTATCATATAAGGAAATGCGACATTCTTTTTGGGACTGACCAAAAAGGAAATGGTGCCACATAAAATGGGACGAATGGAGTAATATTTTCATACATCACTTTAACCGCTTTGCTTGATTTTTCAGTTGCATCTATATTCAAAAATAAATGTTTTACAACTTAGTATAGTTATGAATATTAACATTAATATTTTACCTTGACAATTCTCCGAACCAATTTGTTGGGGATGATCCATAGTTTTCTTATCAATTGTAGTACTTTTGTATAAGTATTTGTCAAAGTCAAACTAAGATAAAGTGTTTCAATAAAATCTAATTTAAATATAAGAATATTGAACATTTGAAAAACTAACCTCAATTAATCACTATGAGCAGATAGTGGCTATGAAGATGTAATTACTACTTCCTCTATCCAATAATAGTTGTCCACTAAACTTGGCGCACCCCTTAAGAAACAATAAATAATAGGGGTAATATTACTATTTTATTTTTTGACTTTATTAAATTTATTGCTCTGAGAAATGTGTTAGATCATAAATAGTATTTAAAAGTAAGGGTAAAATAGACACAAAAGATAAATTATCTCATAATTTTCTAAACTGGATAACTATTTTTAGTATATTAAAAAACTATTTTTAATATATTAGACAACTATTATTGGAAGGAGGGAGTAATCAACAACTTTGATAAAGCAAGACAAGGTAACAATAAATGCAACTAATTAGAGGTGTTATCTTAATAAATCCACATATTTGAATACATTAATTAGACGTGACAAACAAAGATATGCACCAACTATAAATTACATGGACATTTCTCTCAAAATTCTCCAGGCTTAATTATTTAGCCAAAACATTTGCTTAATTTCTTCTTTTAAGTATTTGTTTTTCCCAATGGAAAGAAAAAAGGGTAAGGGTAGGCAAAAGATCGAATTGAAGTTTGTTGAATCAAAAGAGGCACGCTATGTTACTTTTTCAAAAAGGAAACTGAGTTTGTTCAAGAAAATTAATGAATTTTCAGCTTTGACAGAAGCAAATGTTGTTGTTCTCCTCTTTTCACCTAGTGGAAAGCCATACTCCTATGGCAACACTAGTATCGAAAAAATAACTGATAAATGTTTTAAATGGAAATTAAATAATTCCCATGTTGTTGATCAAGCTGAAGGGGATAAATCAAATATCTTTCAAGCATTTGATGATCTCGCTGAAGAATTAAAAATCTTGAACGAGATCGAAAAAAATCGAAAAATGAGGTATAAGATCTTGTATCCTGATTCAGAAATACCACCTGATAAACAAAGGTTGGAGCAATTGGTAGCACTCAAGTTGCGATTGGACAAAATGAAAAAAGAAGCAAAAAGTAATGTTCTTGCCGAGCAATTCAAATTTGATTTGAATGTTGTTGTTGAGCCAAACGAGGGAGAAAGTTCTGGAACTCATTGATTAGTGTACTAGTGTTTGGAGGAGAATTTACCAATACAACTATAGAGTCTTTTAATTTGATCAATTTAAGTCTGTTATGTAAATCTTTCGTCCTAAAAAGAAAAAAAAAGTTCAATGGACCTTTTTTTTTTGTCTTTGATGCAAAATTCAATAAAAACCCTTGGAGTTTAATTTGTTTCATCTTTAATCTTCAATGATACTTTTATGTTATTCTAAGTTGGTAGATATATTGAAATATTTTATTGAATGAATAATATGAAGGGAAGTGAAGTAATTAGAGTTATCCCACTATGAAATTACACAAAGGAGTTGTCTGATTTGGCACCAGCTGATGCAGTATTGAAAATGGGAGACCTACTTAAATAAAATGTTAAGAAAACCACTGTAAATGGTCGTCAACTGTTTACAAGATTTGTGTAATTGAACTCAGATATACTAAACCAGTAACTAATTACTGTGTTATTTTTCATAGAGAACTATTTGATGTTCTATATATCAGCTAAACTGTATGACAAGAATCATAGTGAGTATACAGCAAGTGCACATCACCAAAATTCTCCCTGCAATGCAAGCCAGCACCCGAGAATTGTAATAGCTGTCATCTGTGTTAACACCATTGCTTCTCCCCGAAATCTCAATGCTTCACTCCTTTGGCTTGAGGTGTTACTCGGTTTCTACATAAGGCATCAAATGCCTTTTCAGGGACATAATGTTATGATCCAAATATGGCTTTCAAGATATGAGGATCAGCACAGTTGTGTCACCGAAGACCAAGCCAAAGGCATTAAGCTGTAGTTCTTCACACTAACAGGGTATCATTCTTGATGGTGCTTCAGCAATTCAATTTACTCCATCCAGTAACCAATATAGACTGTGAAGGAATACTGAGGTCAAATTCCTTAGTGAGCTGACTGGAGTCACCTTACATACTATCACATTAGGTCATGGCACCAAAAACAAGAGACCAGGAAATGCAGCAGCACAGCAATCTCATTGGCAGTTAAAAGAGTTTAAGCTGCATCAAAGTGCTTGGTGAATTCAATGGCAGCATATAAGAAAAAAATTCTGTTGTATTCAAGCCTCATGGTGTTTGAGTCATCAATGCACGAGCCATCCTAATCAATGCCCTAGCTTATATGAGGATTCTTTAACAAGTGTGAATCACCTGTTTTCATCAGCTCTTTTTGAGAATTGTAAATATGGCTTTTAACACTGCCTTTGTGCTAATGGAGTATAGATTCGTTACCTTTATAAAAAAAAGTAAAGTTCCCTAATAACTTCCGGGGCTGAACAAGGATATGATGATAGAGCTGAATGTCACTAGGCCTTAGCGTAATAGTCTCTTGCACCAGCTGAAAATTCTAGATAAGTTCAACTCCATAAGATCCTTCATTCTTTGTTTATTTCTCCTTGAATGTTCAATATCTAGAGTCCTGTAGGCAAGAGCAAGCAAGTACATTGCTGGATGTAATCTCCTGCACATTCAAGAATATATCTGCACATCAAACATTATTGCTTTCAAGCTAATGGGATATTCCTACAAATTTTCATATGGCAATTCGTTTATGCAACATCAAAACTTCCATATTACAGTGGGAGATATTCCATATTCATGGGAAATAATGAGAACGATAACCGATTCTAGCCAAGTGGCTTCGGCTAGGCTCCTTAGAAGTAAAAAAAGATTTCACATTAATCTTTTCAAGCAGGGTGCAAACACATCCTGCATTGTAAAGTTAGATCAATTTATCAAGATGCAAAGCATCAAAGCATAGTTAACAGCACAATTCATAAAATACCTTAAAAAATTCTGCCAGAGTACCAGAGATTTATCATTAAATGGGTGGAGAATTTCAATTTCATATGTTTGAGGCTTCTACACCAGATACTTACTTCTCAAAGTGATCATTTGCCTCCAAGCCATCCCAATACCTCTGAGATGGCACATTTCGGCCTGTCTTATCTCTGCCAAATGTCTCCACATACCAACCTCCAATGTCATGCATGCCACATCGAGGTTCAAATAGCCAGAATCTGTTGGAGAGAAAAATCATTACTAATAACATCAATAAGCAAAAAACCTGAGAGACGTATATCTTGTATTATTAACAAGAAAAAAAGTGTTTGACTAGAAAACATTCTGATATGAATACTTTAAGCCCAATGTTCTATGCATTTCCTGCTTCTAAGTTATGAATGACAAAGAAAATTCACAATCCAATGGCATCATCTTCGGCTCCACTTAATACTTAGCCACTTGTGTCTCTAGGTGCCGGAAATTCATTTAACTACTAACAAATCCGATCTAAAGAAAATCTAACAAAATTGATCAGCTTGATGTATGGACACTGGAGTCGGAAGTTCCCACACTTTAAACAAACAAGCACCAAATCTACCAACACAGGAAGAGCAAAGCCTTGTGATATGAAATGGAAAGGAGACCAGCTATGACATTTAGTGACATTGAAAAATGCTATAAACCATTATTACTAGCATAAGAATAGCTATAAGCTCTCTAACCTTTTGTCTTCTAATAGTTAACCATAAGCTTGTTTTTTTTTTTTGAAGATAACATGTGTTAGCCATAAGCTTTCGTAATTCCACCTTCTAAGAAAGAGTAACGAAAAATGAAAAGAGAGGGAGAACGGGAAGGGAAAACAACAGTGATAGAAGTAGAAAGAAGATACTGACCATGACCCACAATTTTTCTCATAGTGAAATGTGGATGACTAGACATCAATAAATGTGTAAACCATAACTTCCGTTAACAAAGTCATTCCTTTTCAGAAAAAAAATTTCCATCCAACAAAAATCAGATAGACTAAATCCAGCTCAATAATACGATTCTCTCTAGGCCCACCTCTTCACCTTACATTGTAACTAGTGAATAGGCACTAACGTCATGATAGTTTGACGAAAATCTAGGAAGAGAATAGTTAGCACTCTTGATGAGTATTGACTCAAAAGGTTATGTTATGGACTTTACTTGCTCGGAGGTAGCTTAGCTTTGCTGCATCTGCACTCACAGGTTAATACTTCATCTCCTATTTGATACCAGTGCATGTGTCTTACCTGAAAAAAGAATTCTGACGCAAATTAAAGTGGAAGATTATGAATATGATTCTTTAAGCCAAACAGACATCCATTCCAAGAAAAAAAATTCCATAGTTGCAAGTAAAGTATACTTCAAGACCAACCAACAAATTAAAGTCCAACCGCCAAAAATCATAGTAACAGCAATCTGAGGACTGCTTATAAAAAAGTAAATAAACAACTAGTATGCCTCAGTCCCAAGCAAGTTGGAGACAGCTATTTGAATCCTCACTAACCACGCTCCCTGTTTAAATTCATCTCAAGTTAACACTACACAAAATAACAATAAAAATGAAAGGTATTAGAAGTTCTCTATAGTTCCTAATGGCATAAGAGCCGTTAATAAGGCTAAAAGACTCTTAAAAAGAGTAGCACCAAAAGTAAATATATTAACATGACTAAGACATATCCAATACCAACCATAAGAATTCTAAGCTTGCTTATCAAAAAGCAAGCCAATAATTATTTTTTATTGCATTCAGACAGTGACCTTAGAACGATACTTGCAACCTTATGAAAATATTTACAGCTACTTCTCATAAGCACCTGGCATATAGGAAAAGAGAAGGTTTTGCTCTCTGCACCAACTCGCCCTTGCGCTCCCTTCTTTATCTAATGAAGGATATTTGACAGGAAAAAAGCTAAAGAGAAAAGTAGACAATATTACACTCACCAGCAATGTTCGATGCTTCATAATCTCATGGGTTTTCACACCATTGTTGTCGTAAACATCGCAAGAACCTTCTTCAGGACTGGTCCCCAACCCTGTTATCATTCCCAGTGGAATGGCAGACTTCAATCCGAAGTCCATTAAGTTACTTTTGGGAAATCTTTGGACTTCATGTGAACTGAGGTAAACATGAATGCAGTCATCAAAACCTTCATTCTGTATCCCATTATATCTACTCCTAGGTGGAACTCTTGTTGCCATAGCAACAAGCCTCCCTCCAACATGCAATTCTAAGTCTCTGTATGCATCTGATGTATGGTAATTGGAACTTCTCAATTGCTTTTGATCAGAACCAGCAGCAGCCGTCTCCGAATGCATTTTAATGGGGATATTTTCAAGGGAATGACACAAGTCTGCTTCCAAGGATGCCAGTCTCTCCATAGAAGCATGTGACAGTTCAGGGACATTTTTTGCTAAACAGACCATCCCAAAAAGATCTCGCCCAGAAACCAGGTGCAGAACCTCAGCTGTTTCGTATACTGATCGCTCCTCAGCTTCAAAAAACTCAGGAAGGAGATCTGACTCAATCTCAGGGCCGTAGAATGCTAAATGTAATGCTGAGTAGAAATCTCTTTCCAGTGCATCCAAATAGCCTGATCCAGATACTACCCTTTTTTCAGCCAATATGTCGTTTATTGTTTGTCTATACCACTTCAACCATTCAACAACTTCCATCTCCTTGATTGCCGTGCTATATGCTTCATACATGCACATTTTAGAACTTTGTCTAGAATGCATATGAACAAGTGCTTTCCGAAATGAGAGATACTCGTCATAATGCGCTCTCCTCTCAGAATCGGATAGAATCTGCATTCCATTGGTTATCCAAGTAAATACTGTACGTCTCTAGTACATTAAAAATTATTACTTTTACCATGTATATGTGTGACATACAAATTTTGTAGTAATTCAGAAATTCAAGAGGACGTCTACGATAATAATTTATTGAACTAAGTCACTAACTAAGAACGAAAAAGGCTGCCACAAAGCATATGCTTATATTTCTCTAAGTTCAATTAAACTGTCAATCAAAATTGAAATTGCAGCTCTTACATATCCCAATTATTTTTACTCCTCAATCCTAAATAGAACTAGTTCAGGTCAATTATATGACTCGTCTGCATCCACTCCGCTCTGTTCACGAATTTAATGTTCAGATGAATCATCATAATTGGACTAATTTGTTAAATTAGGTCTTGGGCCTAACTAACACCCCAAAAGCTAGCTCAAAGGGAGGAAGATTGTCCAAGCCTTATAAGGAGTCCACCCATCTCATTAACCATCGATGTGGGACTTTTGTCATTCTTTAACATAATTTTTACTCAACCCCTCCACAACTCGCCTCCTCTATCCAGACTTGGAACCAACTATACTTCGCAAACATAGGTAAAGCTAAACATCCAATGTTCTACTATACAAAATTTTAAATCCTCAGTTTGTGCTAATAACAAATGTTCCATATTGATGAATTAAACTAAGAACAATTCAACAACTATATTTATCCTAATAAGAAAGCACTCCGTCCATCTCATTTTACTTGGCCCCTGTACCACAATTTTAACTCGGTAAATTGAGGCAGAAAAATATAATGAGGAATATGATAAAGGAACAGCGTCACTGAAAAATGAAAACGATAAGGCAGAAAACGCATAACCTCATAAGCAGCAAGTATTTCAACGAATCGCTTGGAAGTAGAGGAATTGTGCGTGGAATGAGCAAGGTCAGGATGAGTCTCCTTAGCCAATTTACGAAAAGAATTTTTTATTTCATCAAAGGAGCTTGTTTCTGACACACCTAGAAGCTCGTAAGCATTAGGTCCAGCAAATTCTGAACGAATCGGTTCGGCTCCTGTAGTGAGCCACCGATTTGTGATAAATCGGGGATAACATTTGTGTAGCGGCAGAGACATAGTCATGTAATTCGATGAACCTGAAATTGTAATAACCTGAATTTGATGATTTTGACGGTAGAG